GTTAGTTAGTTAGTTAGTTAGTTAGTTAGTTAGTTAGTTAGTTAGTTAGTTAGTTAGTTAGTTAGTTAGTTAGTTAGTTAGTTAGTTAGTTAGTTAGTTAGTTAGTTACCAGTGTATATATTATACACATGTATATGTGTGCACAGCTTGTCTTTAGTGACTTGGTTATCCTGCAGGAAACTAGCTTTCTACAGTAGCAAGTGACCCAACACCAAACTATATATATCTGTGACAAACATAGAGTCTGCAAAGCTTTAACTGCCGTCTAAATACTAAGAATCCACCTTCGGTCTGAAATGTTCATCTTATCCGTGTAGCACAGCAGCAGTACAAAAAGTCAAACTAAGCACGCAAGCACCAACAACACATGCATTATTTTGTCTAAAAGACTGATGTGAGATCAGCTTAATGTGAAAATTGATATTTTGAAGACAGCTACAAACTGCTTATATTGTTTTGATCTAGTGGATGAAGACCAGGAAGGATCATTTGACTCAAATTTATTACTTGTCTCTCGATACATATCAATAACCACCTCCATTACCAACACAATATTTTGATGTTAGAGCCGAGCTCTTTGTGTGATTGATTCTCTGAATAAGTCCCAAGAAAAATAATGGCGCTGTCTTGATTTCAGATTTTTTCTTCCAACCACAATTTTATAAATAAGCAGAGGGAGATGCCACTTTGAAGCCTTATTTGTTTTTCAAACTCTTTTTAAACCTGAGGGAGGATTTTTCTAAACCATGTGCTGCTGATTAGAAGCTGGGCTGAAAATCGTCATTGCTGTCCCCTGAGACAATGTTCCAAAAGAAGAATTTATATTAGAAAAAAACATGCCTGTGTTTATGTGGTTATGATACTTAAGTGTTGCCACAGGGTTTGCTCTTTAATTTGTTGCATTGAAATTTGACATTATTTTTACTATCATAAGCTGAAAAACTATTTTTGTGTGTTGATAGTGGAAAGCTAATGTCACTGCAAAGCCAAATAATTGTCACAAATCTGCTTACAGCATCAAATTACATGAACCCATTTTCAAGCCAATGGAAATATTTTAAATTTGCATCACTTTTCCATACATTTGTGGGCATCATTTTGTGATTAAAAACTGACTTTTTGACTTGGCTTTTTTAATCATGCAAAGAACATCATTCTTTCTTAACTTTTTTCGTTTTGTGTGTTGAGCTTGTTTTGGAGACTACACAAACAGTGGATTGTTACAATGTGTAACATCACATGAGTAACAAATTTTCTTCATGGATTAGCTATAGTAACAAGTCATGTTTTTTTTCCGTTATGCAAATGCACAAACTACTATTTAGGATTTTGCTATAGAATAATTTGCTCCCTAGGCAGGCTCAAAAGAGAGAAGTGTCATTAAAATATCTATATCGTTGCCACCTTGTGGTCCGACACAATTATTTCAGCATATGGAATGTTTCTGTGTTCTTGTCGGGATACATATACATATGTTTAAAAACAGAAGGAAAAGCATACATTTGAAAAAATACATTTCCCCACTGTGTCCTGAAGAAGAAACAGAGGTATTCTGTGGAGCAGACTGGTTAGTGTACAGATTGCTTTCTATAAATTAAGTCTTGTAATCTGTACTGTGTACCACACCAAAGCTTGTTAAAGATAATGGCCTCACGATAATGAGCAAACAACGTCCCCCCCTTTTTTTTTGGGCTGTGTCTGTCCAGAGTAATTGTACCAATCAGCAAAGTGTTTCACACACCGTTACCTTATTTCACACTCTCCTGCTGCGCTTGTTTAGCTCAATTTGCTTAATTAAAATGTTCCGCTCTTCATTCCATTTCATATAGCCGTCCCTAAAGAAAAAAATCATCTTTTCATCTTTAACTACATCTCTGATTGGCAGGGAATGTGGGTTACTGCCATGAGGGTTACAAAGAGGCCTGTGGTGGAATACTGGGAGTGCAGGACGGAACGGCTCAGACAGATCTGTGACTCGGTGGAGCTTAATGAAGCTGCTGCCACCCTGCATGACGCCACCGGGTACAGGCTCTCTGGGGCATATGTCAGCCATTAAATTTAGCATATCACTGGCTTCTCATACTTGACATCACCTGTCAGGATCGTTGGTTGGTTGTTGTTAAATGAATATCTACGTTCTTCCACTTAAACAATAGAGAAAAAATGTTTAGTTTAACTGGATCAAAATAATTGGGGCCGTAACTCATGCACTTGAGAATGTGGTTTTGATTGACCAATTCACTCTATGTGAATCCAGTTATAGAAAATAATCAACCCCAAACTAAAAAGCTTTCCTTTGTGTGTGAATTCTTGAGATTCACAGCCTCACTTCTGATGGCATCTTGTAGACTTGTGTCTCATTGACATGCACCCCGTGGCTCTATCTGCCTGTGGTCCACATGCAGTGCTCACTGATGTGAGCTACACCAAAGTCTCTGCCGGGGAGAGGATCAAAATGAAAACTGCTGGCAATATTCTTACAGAATTTACAACAATGGGAAATATCTACCAACTAAAGGACCGTGAGCGCTTTAAAACATTTAATATATATTTGTTTACTTTAAATTGACTGTGTAATGTAATTGGGTGCTGACATTTGTATTTATTTTCCCTGTTGCAGAAAATGATTACATCATATTTATATATCAAGCCTCAAATTCACACCCGTGGTTTCCTATTCATTATTTCATCCACATAAAACACAACGCAACCATGTCTGTCTGCCTCCTTGGGTGTGACATTTTCTTTGTTTCTTGAACAAGAAAAAATTAATTCAATGTTTTATTGTAAACAGCTCAGTCTTCTCCTCTGAGCTTTTCATTTGATCAGGCACTGAAACAAAGAGCTCCAAGATATTTGCAGCAGCAGCCTATGGGGTGAGTGGAAGCAAAAGCTGAGAGGTTTATAAATTCATCCCTTCAGACTCTCGTCTCACACTTCTGTCGTGTAGTCATTCACTTGAAGAAAGCAGTCAGGTGTTTAGTGCCTTGCTTAAGGACATGAATAAAATGACTTCAGTCAGGAAATTGTATACACTCACTGCTTTCTCTCATTTGATCTGCTTTGTTCAAGCAGGTTATGTACAATGTAACAAACTCTCTCAACAATATTACAAAATGCCATATTAATCCCCTCTTTACATACATCTAGACATAGGTAGTAAGACGGTCAGAAATGTCCATACAGAGTCTTGAACTTAGGCAGGTTACTGTTTTGTTTGTGTTCTTCAACACACTGGATTGGACTGGATAAAACTTATCTCAGAGTTCTATAGTTGGAAAACTGTATAAGATTTTTTTTAACCCTGACTGTCACAAAGACACTTACAGTCGTTAAACTAGACATTGTTCCAAAAGTAAGAGGATTTGTTTTGAAGATGCTTTTCATATTAGCAGTGTTTTTGTGCTGCTACCTTACTCACAGAGAAAAACCATGGCAACATCCCTATGGTAACCCTTCCAAAAAAGTTATACTTGTTTTGTCTTTCTCTAATTATACTGTCAAAAACATCACATGCACAGGAACACCTTTTTAATATGAGATGTAGCTCTTTGATCTCTCGCTATTTCTGTCAGCATTTCTCTCAAACAGATTTTGGGGTGAAATTGCTGGGGCATCCACAGGTAGATTTTTAACTGTCTTGAGAGTTTTCAACATGTGGATAATGTCTGGATCTGTTTTTTTGCAAGCATGTTAAGAATTTATAATACATTTATAAGTTATTTTACTAGAAAAAAAAAATATTGTAGGGTTAAGACTGTGCAGCAGTCAACCTCTGAGTATTTATTTGTATAAGATTGATAACCTTGGAGAAAATCACAAAATTGTTTTAGTGTTGTTAAAAAAATCATAAACATGTGTTGCTATTTCCAGTTAGTACAACTCATGTTGGACGTTTTGGTGCCCATCAGAAAGCATGGTGGTGCTATAAAAATTTTACTGGAATTGGTATTAGCCTAAATTTGGCCTAAACACTGATTATTTTTGGCAACATTTTCTAACATCAAGAACTATTTTTATGAACAGGTCTACAGGTAAAGTTTCAGAGTGACAGGCTGCTGCCTATGACCACTGCCTGCTCTGGCTGTCGTTATCCACTCCTCACACTGCAACATTATCAGTTGGGCATTTCTTTTTCACAGCTTGAGAAAAATTGATATGTGTTGTGACGGTCTGTGAAAAGCGACACTTTCTCGTGGAGTCTCATGGTCAATTGATTCAGCTGACAAAGTAACAAGGGGATAACAAATGGCTTTGGTATGTAAGAGGTAAATATTCTTACTTTTAGCTATGTCAGTGTTCTCACCAGGACATTTATTCAACATTCAGAGGCATTATTTAGCAACTCTGTATCATATTAGCTAGAAATGTGTGTAAACTGATTGCTGATTTGTTTTTCTGTGTGAACTGGCAAATACCAATCACGACTAAATGACTAAATGATAAATAAATGCTTTAAATCCAATCATCTGATTGAGGAACTTTATGGTAAAATGCCTTTAAAAAAATTAGAAATCCAAACGTAATAAGTAATAAACTGCAGCAACAAATTGAATATTGGGGATTTGTTTGTCCTTCTGATTAGATGTCCATGCTCTCACGGGGTTGGAGAAGCGCTTTTCATTATAAGTTGAATATATATTAAAGTGATTTGCAATTTGATTACAAATCATCCGCATTCTAGCTTTCTCATAATTAAAGGAGTGAAAACTGATTTTCTATCATATATTGTTAATGTACAACTTTGGTTTATCTAATATGCATATTGTAATGTGCCAAAACCTATGTAAAACAGAAAATTGGTGTAGTGATTCTGTAGTCTTTCACAACCTTTTTTGATCAGATTATTTCCTTAAAAATGACATCTTGATGGCCTTCCTTCAAAAAGACTATTTGTTGAGGCATCAGTGAACTCTAAATAGATCAACTGAAGGTCCACATTTTATTGGTCTTGGTCTTTGCAGATATTGTTCATTTGAGGTACACGGTTTATCAAATAGTCAAATGGTTTTGCTAAATTTTGTGTGTGGACAGAACACAGGGGAATGCTTTGAATTCGGTGTCATTCTGTTTGAAAAATTGATAAGTTGGTGTTAAATGGCTTCATGAACCGAAACTCACATTCTCCTGAACTAATCAGTTACAAGGCCTGGATTAAAATTGAGTGAAAAAAGCAGCCAATGTTCAAAGAGAAACTTGAAAGACCTTTGAAAATACTGGAAATGTATGCTTGTGGCCAGTATAAGAGTTGACAAAACAGTCTCGTACCCTGGAAGACGAAAAGAAAGAAAGGACAGCTGACTAAAAGCTTTTAAAACAGCACAACCAAAAGACAAATGTTACCTCTGGCAGCAGAGTTATGAATAAACAAAGCAGCAAACATGTTGAATCTTGTGGAGAACATCTCTCATCAGCAGTGATGGTAAACTGTCCTTTTTGTATATTTATGTGTAAAGAAGAGCTTAATATCTTTTCACTTCTTTCACCCTCAGTGCATTATTTAACTTTTCAATGGATCACAGAGGACAGGCTTCAAACTGAATACATTTTTCATGAAAAGAACATGAGCAATTGAAACACTCACTACAATTTCTGATTCTGTAAAAATCCTTCTTTTCTCTCCCAATGATTTTACAGAATAATGTTTCAGAAGTAAAACACACATAACCTACTGCCTCCTACAACCTACATGAATTCTGGATTTAAATAAATCCCCCCAAAATTTTACATGGTCAGAAACAACCAGTGAATATTTCACCATTAAAAAATACATAGTTGACGAAACAGTCAAGAATATTAATTGTATCCTAACAAGATGGAAAACAGAAAAAGAGTAAAAGAAAATGCCTCCTGGAACAGGTGGTGATAAGTAATGCAGATATGAGTTACTCAAGCCAGGAAGGAGCGGGGATGTGTAGATATGTCTGGTCCCCCAACACTGGCCCACCTTTCATGAGATACCAGAGTCAGGCTGGCGCCACCGTCTGCAGCTTGTCTAAACAAGATGAGATGGCCGGCTCTTCCACAGTTAGAGGTGTCTCTTGTATTTACAGCCCCCTTAACCCCGATCTCCCCAACATGTAGCATTACATCACATATCCCAGTTCAGAGCTGCTGCAAAGCTCAGGCCAACACGTTTCACAGCCTGTCCCTTTCTGTCTCTTTAGTTTGTACCTGCCTGACTTCCAGTTTACATGGTCTTGCTTTGGGACAGCCAGGAGTAGTGAATAATGTGTGAATAGCAGTGTATTTGTTGGGGATTCGAACGTAGCATGACAGGCGGTAGCAGCTGTTTAGAGCATGTCGTGCATCCTGATGGAAGGTGTGATGATGAAACCAGTGTGACCTGATTTATTCGTATACAAGCGTCTGCAGAGAAGTCCCAGCAAGTATTTCTGTATGGATTTTCTGGGGACTTGACATTGGAGGCCGCACTCTCTAAAAAAAACCAAAAAAATAGCAGGACCATCGTTTGCAAGGGGGCGGAGGGACTAAAATAAAATCAGCTGTCACCGTGTGCTTGTTGGACAGAGTTGAACACATAGAACTGGAGCTGGTCTCCATCACTGACTGGGATTTGCTTTTGGCTTGGAAAGACCCTGCGGGTCGGGGGCTGCAGAGGCCTTCTTGTGGGATTCTACTTACTGAGCTCATATTTTTTATAATTCAACAACTTCTATCCCTGGTAGGTAATCTCCCCGATCTGCTTTTGACTAGAAGAAGAGTCAAATTGTATGTGAATGATATTGGCTTTTAAATGCTATTTTTATTACGATAATAAGAACTGCAAAATAGAGTAGCATGAAAACCTTGTCACATGAAAACGTTTTTGATTACAAGAATAGCATATGATATCACCATTGTGCTGGGAAAAAAATTAACTGATATAAAAAAATGTTTAGTTCAATTTTGACCAAAATCTTTAACATTTTAGTTCAAGGAGACGTCACATTTATTCTGCCAACTAATTCCAAAGAGATACAGTACCGACCTGGTGTGTTGCTTGTATGAATGTTGGTTATTCAGTCAAGATGGTTGTATCTCATTAGGCCGCGGGTCATGAAATAAAGAAATTCTGAGGAGTAATTGGAAATACGGCCTCAACTACAAGGTCATCTGTGCAAGTTTTCTAGATGCTTTTGGAAAGGAAAACCTTGACCTCCCAGCTTTCCTACATATTTCACGGAGAAACACGACCCATCATGGTAAAGTTTAAAATAGGCTTGATTTATTTTTGCAAGTACATGGCGCCAAGATTACTTCACTTTCTTGATATTTGAGCTCCTGCCCCAACCTAAAATGTTATTTGATAGCCCGAGCCTGTTGTCAGATTTGACAGAAAGTTTTAGTTCTACCTATAGGCTTTAGAGTCTTTAAGGCCCCAAACTGAATATCCTTTGATATAAATCCCTCGTTGTGAGTTAATTGAAAAAAATGACCATGTACTGCCTTGTTCTATGAGTTTTGACTACTGTACACCAAAGAAAAATGACTCAATGTATATTTTTAAATAAATGCACAGTAAAAACAGATAATAAAGGCACAGAGATAATGAAATACAACCTCTGCTATTTTAAAAGCTGCCTCAATGTCTATTAGGAGTGTCACGAACCCACCACTCAGTATTCCTATCTCAGACATCTGTTTGGCAGAAAATTGTGACTTGATCCTCCAAATGAGTTTGCTGCTTTACTGTTCTGCTCTTAAAGTCAGTGGTACAAAACTATATTCCAAATACAAACAAACATCTTAATTAGTTTGTTAACAAACTAAATCAGATGGAGGCCAATTGTTTTTCCATATGTTTGCAAAAATGTGCAAAAAGCTATTTTCAATGCATCAGCACATTTTATATTTACAGGTTTCTAAGATGTGAATACCTTGAACTCATAGACACAGAAACATGTTAGCAGCTGACAATGTCTGTAAGTGTTGGCAGTAATAAATAGAATTTTTTATTAACACATTTGGGTTCTGAAAACCGAGGTCATTTTTCATGAGACAGTGTGTTGATAGAATTCTCATCCATCATCCTAAAACGAATGAATAAATTAAATGAAGGATTATACAACGTTGGCTTAACAAGTATTTCCACACAAATACATAATGCGATAACATAAGCCATGTTATATACTTTTGTTTAAAGGCAATACGTTTTAAAAGCAATGACCGTTGTGCATGATGACAAAACAATCTGAAAACCACACACCTTTATGTAAATATGCTTATACAAAGTGTTGGTTATAGATTGATAGAGTCATCAAGGAACAATTATAAAAAAGAGATTAAGTGTAAAAAGAGATTAAGTGTAAAAAGAGAGAGAATATTAAGATGCACAAATATATCAGTGAAACATTGCTTCATACTAGTATACTAGGATAACATACTAGTTCTAAATAATATTAAGGAATTGTGCATCTGAAATCATTTCACATCCTAATGATTTAACCTTTTTTTAATAAATCATGCACATGCTATGAGCCGCTAAATGTCAGGACACAGGTGTGTAATTGACTTCCCTGAGGGCAATCATTAGGTTAGCACCACATGCACTGCAGCTGCACTTAAGCAGCACTGAGCTCGCCATTTGCTGTCTTAGATTCTAATAACAAGCTGAAGATTGCTGCTGTGGTCGGAGGTGTGCAGTTTCGTCTGGAAAACTGTATATGCACAGTAATAATTACATTAGCCATACCACAACAGTCAGACTAGTCTTATATTTGTAAATCAACATCTACTAAGACGATCTGACACCCTTAGCTATGCTTTTCATGTGCATGTCTTTGTATTTTACAGAAATATTTTCTGTGTGTGAGCTCTTGAGGATTGAATGACGTCAAATAAAACACGTATGAGCATTTCTCCAACAGCTGGCTCTTTGTGCCTTAGCTGCAGGCAGCGCAGGTTTAACCAGGGCTGGGCATCCTGAAAGATTAAAACCAGAGGAATCAGGATTCACTCTGTGGACTCAGAGGTCATCCCAAAGGCTATCTGTGAGGCCATGTACCAGGCAGCCGTCTCCAAGCAAGCAGACAACACCATCTCCAGCGGGGTACTTTAGCTAGTGCATGGACATGTACATTATAGTCTCAAATACCACAAGTAGCCGTGGCACAGAAATGCCATGTAAGAAAGAAATGCATTGAATTTAAAAAGAAACCTTTGCTCTCCTGTCATATTTCCTGACACTCATAACAGTGCGATGGCAGCGCTGTGCAGCAGGCATTGTCACCATAAATGCCGATGTTGTTGTGCAGTATAAGCAGACATGCTGAAAGTGTCTGTAAAATGGAGTCAGCAGTTCTATTTATGCACTGTATGAATAAAAAGGACACACGAGACTTGGCTCAAAAGGTTGATTAAAATCACTGCTGAAAAGCTTTCAACAATAGTTATACACACAATAACACAGTACACGTTTGTGCGTAGCAGTGAATTTAAGAAACAAACTGCATGGGCTGCGCTGCTTTTGACGGCAGTCTGCGCTGCACAAACGCCAGACAGAGTGGCTGGATAAAGCCGCTGTATCATTCCAGGTCACATAGAAGTGGAGGCAGCTAATGATGTTTCCTGCTCCGGTAGGTCATGGAGGAGTCAGAGGTCTGTTCCCTGCCTGGGGGATTTGCAAGTGTGAGGAAACAATTTGAGACCCAGGCAACTGCAACATCCCTCAATGTTACCCAGTTTCAGTTTCATCATAGAGCTGTGCAGGTACATGGATCCCAGCTTTAACCTTCATTCACTAATACAAAGTGCTGTAAAAGGGATCAAATCATTCTAACGTGCCTGAGCTTGTTTCTGTTGAGCCCTAACATTTAGGCTTCACCTATAGTACTGCATAATTTAGGCTGAATGTTAACAACGAGGTCCTTTGTACGTCTTGTTAGACCTGCGTGTGTATTTGATCTGATGGCATCGCTTGACATTTCTACCTGCATCCAAAAAAGCCTTCGGGGCATTTTTACTCAGACTGGCGCTCCTTTTAGTTGATAGAGGCTTAAGAAAGCGATAGAAAAGGAATTTCGTATGTGTTATTTTGCAAAGGCACAGTGTGACTAAACAGCTTGGCACATTCTCTGTCGTCTTGCCTCCATCTGTGATTATGGATTTCAAAATGCAGAATGCAGTGAGCAGTCTGGACCAGCATCCCCCTGCACGGTGTTCATTTGTATACTGTTAAGCCTTGACAGCCAAACGAAATTGGAGCGAATCCATGTTTGTGGCCCTGACGTGGAGTGGAGAGGATGTAGTGAACTGACACCTTTTTCTACAGACGTGTGCATGCATGGCATGAGAATAGTATTACCATGTTTGACAACCAACTCATTTGCCCTCACAGGAGACATCCAACTCAGAAGTGACAGTGTCGAGCAGCAGCAGGCAGGTCATTCCAGGCAGTCAGCAGCTAGATTTCGAAGAAACTATGGTATGTATGTAAATTTTCCATCACTGTCTGGGCTCGTCAGATAACATGCTGGGTGAAATATTCAGATTCTTCGAATCAGTGAGTGTTGAGAACTTTTTGGTTGTTTGAGTTGAGCTTAAAATATTTCGCTTGATGTGGAAGTAAAAGGCTCACACTTCAGCAACATTCCTGATTTATTACATTTCTCTTTGTTTTTGTGTTTCAATTTTTTCACCCATTTCTTTCTGCCATTTTCCTTTTGTGATACACACCCAGGTGTCGTACGGTGACAGCCATCTTGAAACCAGTTATGAAAACCATCAAAATGAAACGGGTGAGATATTTTAAAACTACATATTCTTGGTCATTACTGTCATGAAAGTGGACAGGTACTGAATTTAGGATTAAAATCCTTTTTGTTGTTTGGGCTGTGCTGCCTTTTAGAAGAAGAAGAGTTTCCAAGGTTCACTACAAAAGAGTTGAGGGATCACTTTGAAAGAACAATAGAAGAGGCTGCTTCACACAAGCCCATTAAGGTAATAATTAACACTTCACCTAAGCTGAGAGTCATGCACATGGAATGTGCTTTACTGTTTCCATTACAATCTGAAACACAGAATGGATTCTCCAACACCTGTTTAATCCGTCATTCCTGACTGATTTGGTAAGACTGTGGTTTAATACTGTTCTATATAAAAAAATGAACTGTACAAGTAGGTTTTCACATGCAGGGACAACATCGGCTGCTTTGTGAGGTGTGTGCTTTGTCACCCGTTACAATCACTGCTGCCCTCTTTTTATCTAAACTGCAAAAAATGAGTTTTTCGTTCTTTTTAATTTCACTTTCCTGAATATTTGTAACTTTGTCACTTTGACATTTGTCACTGACTCACTGAGACATAATAAAAGAGTGTGACATAGTGAGTGGGCAGAACCTTTACACAGTTTGGTGAGATGCTGAGCTAAAAGTTAAAACTATACTCTGTAACTTCTCAGTTCTTTACTGCTATGTCGATTGATTCTATTTACTTGCAATTTTTATTCTTTGTCAGAAGGTGTTACAACAACGTAGCATGCACATTATTTGGCATTTATTGTGATAGATTTATGCTTAGTTTATGACATATTTACCCACAAATTTAATTTTTGTTCCTCACAAAGATTGGACGTGACATCAATCGATCTAAGTGGTCCTCAAATGTGACTCAAAACACCACACTGACTAGCCAGATGAATGATGCATCCGCTCCGGAGGCCACACAAGGCACGGTTGCCACAGTGATGGATGAGGAGGAGTTTCCACCCCCACCGGTTGAAGATTCTGACTATCTTCCACCCCCTCCACCAGACTTGCTACAAATGCCATTAGACAGGGAAGATATTCAAGAGAACTATTACTCACATGAGCCTCCTGAGCTAGTGAACCCGCCCAAACACACACTCAACAAGGAGGCTTATTTCAAGCAAAAGAGTATGTCTGAGCTCAAACGTCTTTACAAGCACATTCATCCTGAGGTCCGTAAGAATATTGAAAAAGAGTTTTATACTGACTATAATGACATTGAGAACATCCAGAATGAGAGCCAAACGTACGCGTTTGAAGAGGATGGCGGCAGTCCCGATGATTTCAATGAAGAGGAATATGGGGAATGGGAGGAGATTCTCCCCGGGGAGGTGCAAGCAATGCGCTGGATGTTTGAAAACAAACCACTGGACACCATTAAAGATGAGATTCGTGATGAAGACGAGGACAACAAGAAAATAACCCAACAGGAGATTATAATGGGGAAAGATGTAAGGCGCACAGCGTGGATGTTTGAAACGAAGCCGATAGATGAGTTGAGCTCACTGAGCACCAAATCCACAGAATTTAAGAATAAATCCTACAAATTTGACAAGGGTGATGTTCGCGCAGCGGCATGGTTGTTTGAAACCCAGACTATGGACTCTTTAAACAAAATGCATAAGGAGGAGGATTTAACTAAAGAGATTGTATTCACCGAAGAGGATGGGAATGCTACCATTTACATGATTGACAATAGGTTCATGGAAGGCCTGGGCCACACTGAGACTATTGATGAGAGCCATCTGCTGAGCTTACGGTCAGTGCTGGAGGAAATCAACGGAGAAGTAAAAACTGTAACGAGTACTTTTGACACTCAGTTTAAATGTATCATCATGGGACAATCAAGCCAGATGCTAGAGGTCACGTCCGTGCGTAAAATTGAAACCGAGCTGGAGAACTCCATTGCTTCAAGGTGGCTTTTCGATACCCAACCTCTGGACATGACGAACGGAGACCCGGCACCTCTGAAAATTGTGTGTAGCCTCTCCATGGAGGACAGCAGTAAAGGAAACTGGGGCAGGTGGTTGTTTGAGATAAAGACATTACATTCTCTCAATGAGTGGGAAAGTTCACAAATGGAGACGAAAGAGATCATCGGTGCTGATGTCCGCAAACACTGCTTAGTCTTTGAAACACAGCCAATGGATTCTCTAAAGGACGATTCCAATGCCAAATCTCAGTCTATTGAAGAAATTATCGGGGGCAATGTTAAATCTGCAAGAAACTTTTTTGAAAGCAGCCCTCAAACAGCCAGAAAGAATGGCCTTGAGGTCGGAAAACTCAAGATGCCAACAGTCGATGAAGAAATAAAAGGAGATGTGAGGCACCAGAAGTGGCGTTTTGAGAGTCAGGCTCTGGAGCACATAAGAGAGGACAAGAAAGAGGTTACCCGGACTGTAAATGTTGAAGAGGACCTCACACAGGAGGATGGCACGAGCTGCAGGGCAGACGTTCGCAGGAACTGCTGGGTGTTTGAAACACAGCCAATGGATACTTTAAAAGATGATTCAAACGCCCGGCCTTTGACAAGAGAGGAGGTTATTGCAGGCAATGTGAGATCAGCCAGGCATTATTTTGAAATGAGTCCAAGTGATGAGCTGAAAGAGTTGGCAGAGGTGGGCAAACTGAAAAAAACAACAGCACTTAATGAGGAGAAGGGTGATGTGAGACATCAGAAATGGCGATTTGAAAGCCAACCTCTGGAGCAAATCAGAGAGGAAAAGAAAGACGTTATTCGAACAATCGACTTGGAAGAAATTGATAAAGTGGATGTGTCTAACTACAAGCACATTTTTGAGAGTACAGATTTGAATAGGAGAAATGAAGAAAAAACAGTTCAAATCGACGGCGTAACGTCTGGCTCCGTCAAATCAAACAAGAACCTGTTTGAGTCGTCCGCATTGTACGCCATGCAGGACAGCTCAGGGCACTTCCACGAGGTGAAAACAGTCCGCCGGGAGGAGGTGGTGAAAGGTGATGTCACAAGCTGCAAATGGATGTTTGAAACACGTCCAATTGATCAGTTTGATGAGAGCATTGAAAAATACCAAATCATTAAAGGCATATCCAAACAAGAAATCGAGTCTGGTGATGTAAAAACCGCAAAGTGGTTGTTCGAAACGCAGCCTCTTGATGCTATCAAGTACTTCAGCAATATCGAGGATGAAGAAACTGTGGCAGTAAGTTCAAATGTCGATGTGGTGAAGGGGGATGTGAAAACCTGTAAGTGGCTGTTTGAAACTAAACCAATGGACATCTTGTATGAAAGAGTGGAGTCAGAAGGTGAAAATGAATCTGAGGAAATGCGTAAGGGAGATGTCAAAACCTGCACATGGCTCTTTGAAACACAAGCACTTGACGCCATCCGTGATGATACAGAGACAATTTTGAAAACAAACACGGTACAGCAAGACGACATTACGGGAAAGGATGTGAGAATGGCTTGTTTTCTCTTTGAAACCGAGAAACTGGAGAATCTCACCGGGGAGGAGACAGGCTCATATAAACGTGTCACAGAGATAGACATTGCATCCGGAGATGTGTCGAGGATGAAGTATATTTTTGAAAACCAAACATCAGATATCATGACATCTACATCTGAGGAGGTGATGCAAAAGCTCAAGAGAGTCCAGACGGAGGAAATGCAAAGAGGAAATGTTGTTAACTGCAAATGGATGTTTGAAAACCAATCAATAGATACCATACACGACAGCCAAGAAGAATATGTGAGCAGCCGCACAGTGAGCGATGTACAAGGAGGCAATGTAAACAAAGGTCGTTTAATTTTTGAGACTTGCTCTTTAGATACAATCCGGGATGATTCCTCAGAGACTGAGCTGATGAAATCACAAAAAATTGTCCGTGATGAGGATGAGAAGGGTGATGTAAGAAACTACACCATGATGTTTGAAACTCAGCCACTTTATGCCATTCAGGACAAAGAGGGCCATTACCACGAGGTCACCACTGTCACCAGTGAAGAGATTAAACAGGGGAATGTCATTGGAACCCGCTGGTTGTTTGAAACCAAGCCACTTGATGCTATTAAGGACACCGATGAGGTTTATATAATTAAATCAGTCACACAACAAGATATGCAGAAAGGAGACGTTACATCTGCCAAGTGGAAATTTGAGACTCAACCTCTTGATATGATCGCTGAAGAAAATAAGGTATTAATAAAAACTGTGGATGACATTCAAGGGGGCAATGTGAGTGTGAATAAGCACCGTTTTGAGACCGACAGCTTGTCTCAGGGATCAGTAAGGACAGTGAATGTAAGTGAAATACAAAAAGGTGATGTCAGGACTGCAAAGTGGAGATTTGAAACACAATCCATTGACAAAATAAGAAGCATGAGCTCTGAGAATCTTATAGAAACCGTTAAAAAGGAAGAGGTCGCAAAGGGAGATGTTAGAAATTCAGTTTGGCTTTTTGAGAAAAATCCTCTTGACCACATTAAAGAGGCAGATGAAGAAGTGGACACAACAGTAACACCAGAGGAGATTCCCACAGCAGATGTGAAGACAAAAACGTGGCTCTTTGAAACCACACCATTTGACGACTTCAGTGAGACAAAAATAGAAAAGACTGAAATACTGGGTAAAAGTGTAAAGGGAACCCTGGAAGAACTTTACAGTCAGAAAATGGTGAGGTCAAAGGGTGTACTAATTGAAGCTGATGAAATTGGTGACATAAGGATGGCAAAATACCAGCTGATGAATAAGCAAGCTCCAGAGATTCAACGAGAGGAAGTCATCAGAGGAGATTTACAGACTATCATGATGAACCTGCTGAACAGACAGGAAACAAATGAGCAGCAGATAGTCATAGACTCAGAAGAAAAGGGTAACATCAGTTCCACAGTGCAACAACTATTCAGTCAAGAGAGCGCCAGCAACATTGAAAAGGAGGAAATATTGCGTGGTGACATCCAAGAAGCCATAAACAACCTCTTCAATGAGAACGGGGACGCGAAACATGGAATACTCATCCAGGAAGATGAAAAAGGAGATGTGCAGATGACAATGTATTCCCTACTTCATAAACATGACAATGTTAATGTGGAAAAAGAGGACATTGTAAAAGGGGACATAAAGAGTGCTCTGGAAAGGCTGTCAAGCCCGGACAATCTAGATCAGACAGTGAAAATAAAGATAGATGAGACTGAGAAAGGAAATGTCAACTTTTACTCTACATGCATTGAAAGTGGGGCTCTCGATTACCTCAAACAGCTCCATTTAGGACCAGATGAAACTCCTTCCGACAGAGTGCAAAAAGAGGAGATTATTGGTGGTGATATCGAGGGCACCAAGCACATCCTTGGCCATAATCAAATGCAAATTGAGCGTACAGTAGAGGATGTCATACCAGGAGATGTTCACAACACAGTGAAAGTGTTCATGTCAGAGCCAGCCATTTCTCTAGAAAGAATCCAAAGGGAGGAGATTGTCAAGGGGGATTTAAGGGCTGCTTTGACATCACTGTCAGAATCAGCGAATCAGTCGGTCATTGTGGAGAAAGAAGAGGTGGTGAAAGGTAACATCCCAAAAGCTCTGCGGTGTTTAGAGAGGGCTCAGAGACGTCAGAAAGAAGTGGAGAAACCAGACATTGTACCAGGAAACATTAGAGGCGCCCTGAGATCTCTTGAGAAATCAGCATCATCCAGAGTTGAAGCAGTTGTTGAGGATTTAGTTCCTGGCGATGTGAAGGCCACACTCAAGTCTTTGGAACTGGCAAAGCAAACGGTGAGGGAAATAGAAAGGGAAGAAATTGTTAGGGGGGATATTCAAATAGCAAAGCAAAATCTGCAGGATGCCTCCAGTGAGAAAAGGAAATGTCAACAGGAGATTGATGTTCAGGGAGACGTCAGAGGGACGATTCAGCTTTTCATGGAGCCACCCTCTTCACCAAGGATGCAGAGGAGCTCCAGCTTTGAAGGTGATGTAAAGGGTGACATCAAAATGTCCATTAAGTCTCTGTATGAGTCACAGGAGCAAATGCAACTGGAGAAAGAAGAGGTGATCAAAGGTGACGTTAAAGGGACTATTAAATCGCTGCTGGAAACAGCACAGCGTGAAACCCCTAAAGTCAGGCATGGAGCTTACAGAAGAGTCAAAGTGAAGCAGAGCCCTCCAGTGAAAAACCTCAACACCGATGCACAAAGGAACGTACAAAAGATCAAAACAGCCAAACAACTTGAGGTATCTACTGAGAAGCATTCTAATGAAGCTGAAACTGTTACAGTAAAGTCATGCACTGTGGAGAAGTCATCCCAGAAATCAAGTGTGGTAGAACATAAGACTATTACCCAAAACCACGGCATCAAAACCGTCAAAACGGAATTTCGTAATCTGAAATCGAACCCGAAGGGGATGATAAAACTGGGCAAAACCAAGGTGAGCACCGATGTTTTCATGTTAAAGCCAGAAACACCAGAGCCTGATCTACCCCTCCCGCCGCCTCCACCCCTGATGGACAGCGACCTACTCCCGCCTCCTCCCAGCCCTCTTCCTCCTTCACCTGAAACTGACATTGATCACCTACCTCCTCCTCCTCCTCCTCCCCCGCTGGCAGCTGAGCAGGACTTCCTCCCACCTCCTCCATCTCAACAAGAGCTGGATAACATGCCGGCCATTCATCCTTCACCAACGCAAGCAAAGAGGATGACAGTTAAAAAGGTGAAAGCTCCTGCTTTACATCCAGTTCCAAAGCTGGAGCCCAAAGTGGAATTCAGCAAAACACAAGAGATGAAGGCAACATCTGCAAAAAGTGTTGAAATACAACAAGAACAATTCAAAACCACCACGCATGTGTCAAAAACGGTTTCCTGTGAAATGCCTCCACCACCAGAGTCGCCGCGACCTTTCAAGAAAGTTTACGTTTCTCCCGTGAAATTCACTCCGCCTCCTTCTCCACCTCCTTTCATGAGAGGGAAAATGAGTAAATTTAACACACCATTAATGAAGGCAGAAGAAAAGTTTCGGAAGCTAAAAGAGGACAGCACACCTCCCAGCACTCCTCCTCCCACTTTCATCCATGACTCTGTGAGTGCTGCTCTTGAAATGCTTTCCACTAAAGAGCAGTCAAATTACGAGGGCTCAGAAATCATGCTGGAGAGAGGTGAATCATTTGATTTATCCAAGCAGGTCGTAGCCTCCAATACCACACAGAGCAAAGCCAGCACTCAACATGGCCAAACAATTGTGGATTCTACTATTAAAACCTCTGCTAAACAACATACTGTATCCAGTGAAACTTCTAAAGTTGTCTCCATTCAGAAGACCTCGTCTGTGTCCGCTGTGAGACAGCACACACAAACCAGCACGCAGAAAACTGTTTCTGTTTCCTCCACACAGTCTGCTCAGTCTGTCGCGTCTGACAGAGTCCAGGCCTCAATCACTGATGCCACAAAAAGCGAAAACACGACTGTACAAGCAAAGAAAGACTCCAAAAGTCATAAAGCTATAAGCTCCAACAAATCTGAAGACAAAATAGAGAATCAAACTTCTGCTCAAAAGGTTAAGCCAGAATCAGAGATAATTCAATTATCTCATGACCTTTCTGGGAAAGAAAATGCCACCTCAGGTAAAAATGAGGAATCCAAATCACCACATTATAATAATAAGAAGAAAAATGATGATTCTCCTTCCGAAAGCCATGAAAATGTTTCCAATCAGCCAGTGCAAACAGAGAAGGCTGCAGCCAATGCAAATGGAAAATCAGGCAAACAAAACCAAAAGGTGAAAAAGAACAATAAACAAGAAAAGCAAGGGGAGGTAAAAATGCCCTGTGAGAGTGGCAAGCTGAGTGTTTCACAGGTTTTGAAAGAGGAGGTGAAAGAAACAGCAGAGTTAAAGCAGAGAATAATGAAAGTCATTCTGTCTCCTCCTCCTGCTCCTGCTGCTCAGATTGCTGCACCTGTAAGTAACACCAGCAACCAGCCAGAGACTCCAGCCCCCACAAAAAAGAAAAAGAAATCGAAAAAGGCGAGGGGGGCTGCACAGTCAGGTCAAGGGAAAGATGCCGTCTCAGAGTCAAAGACAGAAACGACGGAGAAGAAAACTCATCAGGCTCAGGAAACAAGCACATTTACCAAAATTCACAAAAGCGTAAAAGAGGAGCACGTTCAGATCAAGAGAGAAGTTATCACAGCGGACAGCATGGACACTCAGAAGAATGTGAAGAAACTGGCAGACAACGCAAAGGAGAAGCATGAACCGGAGCCAGGCATGGCTGCTTCTGGTCCTTCACCAGCAATAACCAGGATCAGCATCGGCTCGGACAAAACTGAAAACCAAACCCAAAAAGATCCTGAAGGCGGAAGAGAAGAGGTCAGTCTGCCCAAGTCTGTCGACCTTCGAGCTCCCTCGCCGTCCCTCAGGATGCGCTCACCGTCGCCGACATTTATCACCATCGAGTCCACACGGCGAACCGACTCTCCCCAGAGAGTTACTCCGTCTCCTACCCTGTTGTACAGGCCCCCCACGCCTCCGACCCCGCCTCCACGCAGGTGCGACACGCCGACGTCCCGCCTCACCAGAATCACGCCCTCTCCAACTTTTGACAGGGCGGAAAATCTGGCCCGGCTGAAAGACACCACAGCCAAACTCTCACGTGGCGTCACCCCACCCCCGCTGTTCAGCAGTCAGATCCAGGAGAAGAAGTCGGAGATTGTGGAATCGCCTGCATCGTTCCATCGACAAATCAAAGTTGATTCGGAGGTTGTGGAGGCCTCGGGGACACTGAGCCATCAGCAACCGGCCCAAAGTGATGAGAATCTTGTCGAATCTTTCGACGATCCCGAACCATCTTCTGCTTCTGTTAAAGAAAAAAGAGAGTTCTTTGAAGAGGCTCGAAAAGCTGAAATGAACAAGATCTATGTGCGTAAGGAACCCATCAGTATCCCTGAACGACTGGGCCCAGAGGCAGAGGACTCCGAGGCAGAAAACAAGAAAAAAGAATGCCAAGAGCTTCCCACGGCAGACTTGCCCAGCCTATTAAACAAATTTGATTCTTCGGAAGAGACGCCGTATGGCTTTCACAATGACAACGAAAGCACAGGGTGTGACAAAGAGACAGAGGACACCCTCCAACAGGAAATGTCTGCTTTTGACATCCACGCTGTTAAAAATGCTTTTGAGCTGGGTGAGAAAAGTCCTTCCCTAAAAGAGGAGAATAAGGATCAGGAAGAGTTCATGCCAAGCCTGAGTGAAACAACGGCGGACACTTCAAAGCGAGAGAAGCCCCAAGAGGCAAAGGGAGGCTCCAGGCAGAGCACCCCGCTCCCTCCAAAACAAAGCGAGGCTAATAGTGTCCAAGCACAACCATCAGGCTTCTCTGAAACCGAATCAATCACAGAACATTTCTCAAATGTTGATGAATTTGGTAACGAGGTCACGGGGAAAGTGACTTCCGTCACCAAGCGCTCTGAGAGTACGTCCACCCAGCAGGTTCCCTTCTCCTACGCCGATGCAGTGAAGAGGAAAGCTGCGAGGCGAACAGAAAGCTATGACGAAGACGCCACAGATAAGCTGCTGAAGAATTTCCATAAAACGTGGACAGAGAGCGAGGCAGTTTTCAAGAACCTTGGCTACACTGTTTGCGAGGAGACGACGTCACAAGCCATGACACATCACACGAAGATTGTTTCATCGGGTAAAAAGTGCATGGCATGGAACAGAATAATGGCATGGACAATGCAAGAAGGGATTATGCTGGGGTTGCAAAGGCATTACATTAAACTGGCTTAACGTCGCTGTGCAGACAATCGACCTTTATGGTCATGCAAATGAACAACTTTGAGGTAATGCTGCATAATTCAGACACTACATCGTGTAAAGAAGTGCACAAAGCTACCTTGAAGCCACTGACTACTACCTGAGGAGCTCTGAGCATGTGCAAAAATAGGTTGTGCATGGGCCAAAGTAAACTACGCTTACTCCAGAGAAACAACTCTGATATATTTTTTATATCAATCATACAGGTTCGAGTCCCGAAGTCCGAGCTCTGTATGGTATGTCGGAGGAGAGCTTATCCGATGGATGCTCTGATAGTGGACAAAAAAAAGTACCATAAATCCTGTTTCCGCTGCGAGCACTGCAGAAATAAATTAAGGTAAATGTCGAATTATTTTTTTGTTGTTTTGTTTTGTTTTTATGCTGTTTAGTGTTTAGTGCTTGTTTGCTGCTTTTTGTTTTTTAAATGCGTTCAGCACACAATGGCAAAATCTATGCAAAAGAGTGTGATTACTCCTGTACCCTCTGCGGGCACACCGACTATGGCATTAATTAATTTTAGGCTTTTTTTCGTTTGTTTGCAGCTTGGGAAATTATGTCTCTCTCCATGGACATTTTTACTGCCTACACCATTATAAACAACTCCTCAAGTCCAAAGGGAATTACGGAGATGGACTTGGGCAGAAACCTCCAGCTGGAAGTGGTGGACCTGTGCCCTTAGATGAAAAACTTGAATGGAGATATTCCATGAGCAGCATTAATTCAGTAGAAAAAATCCACAGAGGTGAACATGAAATGACAAAAAAACTTGATGAAAGTAAACAACAAAGCAACAAAATCTCTGTAGTTTGGCCCCCACAGGCCGATCCCCCAAAGAAAGTCTTTCAAATAGAGGAAGATATTCAGTTAACTAAACCACAGTGGCCTCCTCCAGATAACTCCCCAACATCTCCCAAACTGCAGCACAGAAAGGCTGTACCCAGAAGCGTCCTTTGAAATCAAATCTCCCATGTGCAGAGTTTAGTCAAATACATTCAAAGACGGAGTACAAAAGGCCCAATGTATCATAAGACTTTGGAAAAGAACGGTTCGGTTGGTTCAATGAAGAAAGTGTTTGATTGAAGGTCATGTGCTCGAGTGATCTAAAAGTGAAAGACAACAGGTTAGAGAGTGAAAGGAAACTGTATATGCTTGAGAAAGATTTGGGAAAGCAAGTCATGAAAGAAAGAGCAAGAAACGTAGACGTGAAATTGTAGAAAGTGGAAACAGACCTGAAGCAGTGTGTCAGGACCTTTTCCAAAGTGTAATTTTCCATTCACTGCAGATGGTCTTCATCTTGGTTTTTCCTGATGATTAGAAGTCAGGCTGATGTACCTGTTAGCATTTTTCTTATAAACCTGTTTTTAGCAAGTGAGTCCTCATTGTGACCCATCATTACCAGAAACAGGTTTATGACAAATTTTGGGATTTTTGAAAAAATAACAAGTACAAGATCCAGTCATAGCGTAATTTGCCTTTAACTCAACTGGAAGTCCAATCTCTGTAGGTTCTATACACTGAAACCACAAAGCAAAGCATTCGTCCATGATGTCATATATGATCCCCTTTCATGTTCATTCTGAAGTTAATTGGTTTATCAAAGTCTCCACTTTTATAATAATCAATGCTGGTTCAATAAAACTGTCACAGTCTGTTGTCTCTACGTTTGTAATATTTTGTCAGGATTATCTTGCAACTTTACATTTTTTAATTTTCCTTTTCTTTGCACCTGGTGTGCAGACTACTCAAACCATCTTGGAATCCTGTTATTTATTATATTGAAAGTAAATAATATAAACAAGTGAATTGGTAATTACCATGTTTGTTGTAGACATTTGTATCCTATTGTGAACAACAAATATTTTGCAATGAAGAATTTTATTTTTTAGATTTGATTTGACATTGAACCTTGTATTGTAGAAGAACATTTCTGATTATGTCACGCTGTCAGGCTGGTTCACTTACTATATGGCAGATTTAAGGGCAATAAAATGATCAATTTCATTGGGGATTTTTGTTTTCATTTTTGTCTCTTGAAATTTCTATCATCATTACTTCCTTTTGTGAACCACGGTGATACTCGTGCTGTCAATCTTATCATATCTGTATGGCAGTGTATGGTTAAGCATTACCAGTGATAACCTTTTCTCACGTAATCTTTGCAAAAATTCCCATTTTAGTCTACCTTTTGAGCAAATTCCTATTCCTTTGGACATTCCATGTGCTACTCTGCAATCCTGTCACTAAAGTAAACAATGACTTTGAAGATATTGGCTTAAGCGGAACATAAGTTTGCAACATTTGCTGTCCAATAGCTTCATCCTGCGATAGTTGTTAATTGGATTCACCAGAATATTTTCCTATTTTTTGCAGGCAGTAAATTAAGGTTTTAGCACCACCTGAGATTATTATGATTGGCTTTACCATGTTTGTCTGCTCATTTACCAAAGAAAAAGACTTTTTTTAAATGACATATTCTCTACCTCTGGCATCAACAATTAGAATATGTGTTTTTTCACAAATTGTTGTGGTAGTGCAGTGTCAAAGTTTAACAAAACTTTGGTACAAACAGTATTCATTAGTATCCCATACCTGCACCGATTGGCAGAGATGGAATAAGTTGGTTAACTAAATATTTCTGAGATGACACTGGGAGAATGTACATTATTCAGACTTCATTTAGCATTTCTGAGATAAGATCATCTTTTGTGAGAGAACAGTTTTTAATGAGCAATCATGCACAAAAACACAAAAAATAAGACAATAATGACAGACACGTCGACGTGTCTGATACGATAAATACACAATGAGATGATAATCTAATGACCTCAACAAGCCAGGACTCCTTATCTCCAGAGTTCTCCCGTACCAGATGTAAATAGGAAGTGCTGTCACGAAGAGTTTGTCAAGTGTGAAGAGATGCATTCAGTGGACAGGAGGAGGTCAGCAGATCCCTTTCAGGCCTTTAGAATAATCTGCTTTACATGCTATCATTACCCTGGAGGGGATTTTGCACAACGCACAGGTGTTTCAAAAGGAACCCAAGCTACCATTCTAATATGGATGGCAGCATTTAAATAAGCTAAGTGACAGGAACTTTAAGCACGCACATGGTTTAGGCCAGAAAAGAAACAGATGTGGCATGTTACAGCATATTTGGAATAGAATTAAGTCTAATTGGGATTTTTCATCCTCTTACTGTTCCACAGTGTGAACATCTCTGAGCGTATACCATCGTATAATGATTCTGATCTCCTGTAAAACTGGAATAACAAACAAATGCATGCTTTAATAATCCAAAACAAATAAAACCAGAGATTAAAAAAGCAAGCAAATAATATTTAAAAATCTATATAAGGAAAGAGGATCACAAAGATCCTCTGATGCTCATCGGAAGCTAAATGATATCATCAGAGAAGGTAAGAACATGCCAGCCTGTGTCACTGGAAAACTAACAAAAACTAAGAAGGATCCCTTCACAGGGATATCAGAAACAAACAGCATGATTAATAAAATGATAACTGTGTGTGTTTCTGCAAGCTACTAAATCCTCCAATTAGTCCTCTATTTTGAAGTAGTTTCTTTCAAATGTTCAATGTTATCTGTTGTCCATGTGGCACATTTAAAGTCCTCATAAGGATTATCCTTATGTTTGACACATGAAACAGGAAGATTGCGGCAGCTTTATCTCAGGAGCTTAAAACAGGAAAAAGGATGGGATTCAACATTTAGAATATTTCTGAATACTTTATTCTTAAATTAGAAATTATCAACATGCAATGAGTCCATTTATTTTTTTCCGGAAATATTACACTTACAAAACACACTTACAAATGTAATAATTATTACACTTTCATCAAATAAAAAAAAGACGTATATCAGTAGGTAAACTGTCCTCTGTGGCCTTAACGTGTTGACTGGAAACACTTCCTCCAAGTTGCCCATAAATTCTCCCACAGCGTCAATCTACCTTGCTACTACAGTCATGTCACACTGCCCCCCACACACACTTTCTCCACCTGAGCGGATTGGAGGGGAATTTATCGGATTGCAATCCGATTGGTCGGCTCTTTATCGCCAAGCTCGACGTGGGCCTGATTGCGTCACCGCCGTGTTTCTCTCCTGGAGTCGAGCAGCAGAGCTCCGGGATGCTGAGGGAAGGCAGCAGCGTAGTCTCGGCGGGTGGGAGCGGGATGGAGACGCGGACTGAGGTACGTGCAGCACCGGGGTATCTCTCTCTCTCTCTCTCCTCCACCGGGGCGCGACCGTGCGCGGTCGGCCGGCTGAACTTGTTTTTGTCGCGCGGAGCGCAGCGTGCAGGGGGATCGCTCCACTTTTTGGACATTTCTGCAGTGTGGGAGAGTCCTCACGTGACGTGCCCTTGCCTGCTGGCGTGAGCTCATCCCGGGGAGAGCTCCGTCCGGCGGCCGCTCCGCCGTGGACCTCCGGCCCGTGGAGTCCGGCTGAAGGCGGAGTGTGTCGGGGAGATGCGGCCACATCCCCGCCGGCCACATCCCCGCTGCTCTGCGTCCGGTTTGGCAGAGCCGTAACCTCTGCTCTCCCCCCTAGAAATGCGCAGATTGTCCAGCTGGGCGATGGTGACGGGAGGTGCGCGGGGTTAAATACCAAACTTCGAGCAGATGTAGGATATTTATACGTTTTAATCCCCTCTTGTCTTTGTTCTTTTGTACGGGGATGGCGATCCCTCAGTGGTATGAATCTTAACTTTTTTCTCGAATTAATTCAGATTATTATTTTTCATTCAACACAATGATCATTCTGAGGCGGATGTTATATTTTCTATTGATATATTCAAGAGCTTAAAAAATAAGTTGGAAGAAACAGTTTCCACTTTTGTTCGAATTCAAAGATATTCCACTTTCCAGCATGCAGGTGGTCTCCATCCCCTGGAATGTTGATGCTGTAAGCACTCTCAGTACTAGTGACTTCAACCATGCCTTACAAAAGTCATTTCAGGACCTTTTTGATAGATGCTTCTACCTTTGCTAAATTTTGTTTGATTGTTTTAAAATGTGATTGCAGCCATTACTCAATAAAACGCAGATTTAACTGTATTACTTATGCAGTACTGAAATAAGGGCTATACAAGTTTCAGACAGAGTAGACCAGCTCCAGTTAGATCTTTCTGTCAAAGCTTTTAACATCATTAAATGTCTGGCTACAGCTTTTATCCCATCTCTTATTCAGCTGCATCATATTCTTGCTGTTTTACATGATCAGCCATTCATGTGCCACCTTCTGCGAGAGCCTATTTCCACTGCTTAGCTCTGTGCTGCTCATAATTACATGTGTGTGTCTGTGTGTGCTTACTGTGAGTCCTGTCACTAATCACTTTTCTGCAAGGTGTAGTCTGGGGAGTTTAAAACCTTAATCCCCAGTTTAAAGCACTGTACATTTGCTTAGTCAGTACCTCCTCCCTTGTTGGACTGGGCGCGCCATTTATGGAAGTTACCAGTATTTTTGTAATTTTCCCTCTTTTCTTAAATAGATATATATTGAATATTTTTGGAGCTACATAAAACATCAGATTTCTCAAATTGACCCCATTACACTGTTTGAATAAGTACTGGATTTTCTGGACATTGTTTCCATCGTCAGTAGGACCTTTAAATGTGTACAGTTTGAAAAATCCTTCATATAAAACACACGAATAGAGGATCTGTTGATTTTGCCTGCAAAATTTAATAACAAATTCTATTTTTGGCAGGTTGGTGTGAAGTATTCTGCCAATTGAGGGCAATAATTAATACTCAAACAGGTCAAAACAACAGTGCAGTGTTTACTGCACAGATCTGGATCTGACAACAGCGCATTTTCCCCCCATTTTATTTCTACCAGCTCATTCTCTTAAATAAATTCCACAAAGAAATGTAAAACATCTCCTGACCTATTTGGCAATGGCTGAAGGCTTCTGGGCAACAAGACACATCATTTTAAACTGTTCTGCTGTATACAATAAATAATGATTTTGCTTTTCCATTGCAAATAATTTTGCATAACACAACTATAAATATTAAAGCTAAAGAATTATATTCTGTTGTCATAAATTTATAAAACAGCTTTAAAACAGGAATGAAATAGTGATAAAGAAGGCCAATCATTCTTATTTTTATATTTGCCTGTACAGAGGGTACTGACCCAACACTTTGCCTCTGTCGAAACAAGATTAATTGTTGAGTTCAGCTCCTCCCCTGCAGCTGCGTTAAAGTCTGACAGTCCTGTTGAAATATGTCTTTGAAATAGAATTGTGGCATATTTTCAGTGTGAAAACTCTGCTTAACTCTTCGTCAAAGGAATAGTTAGCATGGTATTTCAGGCATTATCATGATATTCACTGTTGTGCAACCACAAAAATGTTTCTGTGCTGCTACTCCTTAGTGTAAGAAAAGATAGATTACAGAGGCAGTTTTACTGTGTTTATCCAGTGTGTTGAAAATTGAGCAAGAGAAACATAAAAGACTAAGGGAGGAGATCAGGAAAAGGCTTGGCAAGGAAGAACAAGATTTTCATGGGCTTGAAGCTACATTGTTGTGTAGATTAACTTAACATGAATGGATAATGACAAAAAAAATGGATTAGGCTTGCATAGAAAACGGATGGATGGATGGATGGATGGATGGATGGATGGATGGATGGATGGA